GTAGCAGGTGTGGACACACTATTCCTTTTTATTGCAGAGTAACATTCTCTTGTGTGCATCTACCATACTTTATCCACTCATGAGTCACAACCCTGAGATCAAGAGTCGCACGCTCCCCCGATGAAGCCAGCCGGGCGCCCCTCACCAAGACACTTCTACCTCCAGGTCCTGGATGCAAGAGCAGATGTCTGGGACCACTGGGTACTTGGGTCATTCCACAGGTGGTACATGTTTCTTAGAATCACTTTTCTCTCTGCCTGAACATCTGTGCCCCACTGCCCACGGGAATCTGGTCCAGCGTTTCTGAGGTTACGGTCTTTGAGTCACATCAGATTATCTACACAGACTTCCAAGTAAACACCCACCAAGGACAGTGCCCTCCTCCCCCAGGTATTTCGGCAGTGCCAAGTTGTGCCCACACAAGGCAGTGCATGTCTTGCTTAGATTTGTAGGTGACACAAGAGAATCGGTCACTTTCCCTTCTCGAGTCCGGGAGTCTACCCTCTATTAACCTTTCTTTACAGCCCTAGATACTCACAGCAAACAGGTTTAACACAAAATAGCAAGAAACAAAGGCTATTTCACAATGTATGTCCAAGTCAAAGGCATATGATGTGGAGACACACTTCTGAAATAACTGACAAGCAGGTTGTCTTTTCTTTTCAACAGTTCCTTCTACAGGCTTCTCTCCACAGACTCATTGGGAACAAAGAAAAATCCAAGAGCAGCAGAACACTGACAATGCTTCAAAGCAGCTTTATGAACAAAATCTGGATTCACTGGGCTACTAGAAAAAACTCACTTCCAATGAATGTAGTAAAAATTTAAGAGCTTGAAGAATAAATATGCATATGTTTCCTAACACTGCCATTTGCCCGCAGGAAGGAATGTGAGAAGAATATTCATTTCACCATTTCAACTATACAGGTACATTTAGATAGGGCACCTTTCTCAAAATGACTTCCAAAAAAAGGTCCGAAGCTGAAGGAGGCTATCATGACTATCTGAATAGCTCTTGGGATATAGTTTATTAAAAGCTAACCTCCAGAGTAAAGTACAAATTTACTTAATTTTTTGGTGTAATCTTTTCTGTAACAAATGGCCAGGAAGCCAAGGCCAGCCCAGCTTTTTTTGTTCCATAGAGAGCTCAGTGCCTCCGCTCCTAAGGTTTGGTCACACACAATCTGGTGCCACCAGGGTTTCACAAAGGACCGCTGGGTCCAGGAGAAGGCACAATGGAAGACCCTTCCCCCAGGTCTGTTAGATGTTTCCCCAATTATAAAAACAGTACATATTTATTGCAGGAAAAACCCATAATCCCACTATCCAAATATAATTATTTTTTCTTTTCTTTT